AGACCCAGTCAGGATGAAGTTACTGAGGGGGTGGTTAAAAATTACGAGGGGGCAAATCTTTATTATGCAACATAGGTTCACACAGTGAGTTAGAAAGAGCGCGCAGACGTGCATAATAGTCGCTCGTAATAACAGCTCGTCACCGGTGAAACACAATAAACTGCACGTCTCTTTCATATTTGTCTCATGACAGATGGAGCTGGCAGACAGACAGACAGACAGGTTGTGTTACATCTGCTGCTTGAGTGTGTGTGTGTGTGTGGGTGTGGTGAGCAGAGTGGTTACAGGTGTGCCGGAGACTGAGCAGAGCACCACCAGCCGCATCTCATTCTGCAATCAACTGCCTACTTGTACTCAGCCCTGCCACATCCACGCTGCCAGATCGTAGCCACTGTTAAGTCAGTATACAGCTCGACTCTAGCCTCTAGTTGAATCCCTGACTTAAAACTTTGTCTGTAATCCTGTTTTCCTGTGTTTCCAGTATCCAACCAGCCTGCTCTGCTCTCCGGTCCGCTCTGCTCCACCTGCCCTCACCTCGGACGCTCCAGCCTACTCCCCACTCAGCCTGCCCCCACCTCAGACGCTCTGGACCCAGACCCCCTCACCCAGAGAGCTAAAATAAACCTTTTGGACTCAAACTGTTTCACTGTCTGTCCGCACTTGGGTCCTTGCTGCCGCCCCGTAACAGGTTGAGCAAGCAGCAAATTGGTATGAAAGCTGGTTCAGGGCATATTCGTCCATTTATGAATAAATATGGAGTGGAAACGCTCATGCTGCATGTGCACCAAGTTCCTGTGTTGACATCCTGTCGCGAGGCTACGTCTTTTTCTTCTTCTTCTTCTTCTACTGTTTAATGGCAGTTGGCAAACAGTGAATTGACCCATTACCGCCACCAACTGGTGGAGTGTGGATCAAAATGACTATTACACCTATTTGCTTTGGGTCCCGTGGGACCCGGCGGGACAATGCAGCCCTCTATGTCAGAGTACAAAAGTTACCCAGGCCATGGCCCCCCTGGCCCCCCCGGTTCCGCGGTCTATGACTAAAATTATGTATAACAGAGCTTTCATACAGCTTTGCACACACATTACTCTTGGATGGATTACTCTCGAATGCAGGCTCGTACAGAAATGCGACACATATCACATGAAAGCGCAGGATCGGAGCTTTCCAGTGATACCACACACATCATTGTGCTGTCATCCCATCATGATTATTAAATTAAATAAATAAAATAAAAACCTGACGAATTTCTTTACAATCCATTATACAGATCTTGTTATCAGTCACTTCATATAGTGAGGAATATCATATTTTACCACGTCTTAGGCTTGCGTGTGTTTCTCCCTGTCTATCCACATTTGTAGTCCGGTTTTCAAGATGCAAATATCTCCATATTGTCCAGTTCACACTACATCAAACTTTGTATGACAAGACCAGCGTACTTCACCTTTGCGCACCCAGACAACTGTAGCCTAATTATGCATGCATGACAGGGCAGTAGTCACCATGTACATTGAGGGGGACAAAAACCACTATTCAATGCAACTATCTGCAATCAGCACATAAATGTATCTCTATATCGACTGTCCCGTCACATCTGATGTCAGATCAAAGGGGATTGGCACCGTTTGGCACATGTAATGGAGCTGCTCCCGGCTGTGCCCCCGGCTGTGCGGCCGGCTCATCCTCGTCGTCCTCCTCCTCCTCCTCCTCCTCCTCCTCCCGCTGCGGCGTGGCACCGTTTGGCACGCGTAATGGAAACCCAACCTGATTTGATTAACACAGCTGCAAACTAATGAGTTCACATCCCTCTCAGCCAACCACAGACAGCCACAGCATCAGATAGGGAGTATATATATTCTGCATCTGTCATCTTAGAAATGTCAAAAGAAAAGAAACAGAGTGAGACTGCGAGAGAGAAAGAGAGAGCTCACGCGCACAAGAGAAACGCTTTCAACAAATTGTAAGTTATGTTTGGTGTCTTAAGGGTTTACGTGCTTCATGTGATTGCCTATACAAATGTTAAAATGTTCTTGCTTAACGTGATCTACAAAGATGGAGTACATTATTGCGAGGAGGAGGAGAACGCTGCTGCTCTCTTCTGCCATGGCGAATTGAGTAAACTCTCATTGCGCCTTCACGCGGCGCATTTAAGGGCGAAGAGAGGGGCTCATTTGATTGGTGTGATGTGAATCGGCTGTGTAAAACCCACTCCATGCCTTCTCTCCTCCCTATTTCCGACTTGTGCAGGTAGGAGGGACGGAGGTGGGAAAGAGGAGTAGCTGCGCCAGCGCTCACGGTGTGCCAAACTTGCAAAACACCTAGGTGGCGAAGCGCAGGTGCACTGCGCCTCCCCCCTCGCCCGGTCTGCGAAACTGGAGGCCGCGTAGTTAACGTCATTATGTCATTTGGTCCGGTCACCTTAATGCAGTGTGAAACCAAACCAACCGGACCAAATGTATACAATGTAGCAAAAACACAGACCTTGGTCCAGACTTTCAGGTGTGAAAGCCCCCTTAATCTAACTTCCCTTGTTTTTAATCCACAGCCTAGTACTGAATTACTCTCACAATAGTTTCACAAGAGTGATAATAAAACACTTACACACTTAGCCTGATACAAACTTCAATTGCCAAAAATGCTCCTTTAACCTTACTGACGGAGAGGAATGAAGTCAGGCTATGGCGTTAGCAAATCAGCAGGAGTTAGCATGAACATGACACAGCCTATATCCATTAGCCTACTCAACATAACACACATAACACACGCATCATCGATGCACACATTTCACTCACTTTAACTCACACAGAACGTCATTAGCGACGCACTTAGCACCGAAGCTATTTCTAGCGGCACCCTCCGCCAATGTCTCTGATTTTCACAGATATACACTAAGGTTCTGCTAAAACATACTACTGTTATCTGGGTGTTCATTACACTCAGCTTACCTGTAGGAAATTTAGAAACATGACTGCCTACTAGTTCAAGTATGACCTTCATCTCTGTAGCTAAAGTTGCTAGCCTAATTATTACTGACTAAATGAGCCGAGTACACCTCTTCTGATTAACTGTACCGTCATTATCATAAACATCATAATTTAAAACACACAGTCACATTTTATAACTTTGTAAGGCCATCATGTACATGATTAGCTGAGTTGCTAGTGTTAGCTATCACAAAGAACTAGCTAAAAATCAACAAGCTAACATTAGCCTATAGCCTACTTAAACAAACTTACCACAGGGGCAGAAACAGATGAAACATCGTCTTCAGAGTCCTGAAGCCAAGTGTCGCATCCTACTCCAGCTGGAGTGGCACTGGAGGAGCTTGCATTAGTTTTTTTCAATCATCTCAGCATTGCTAGGTTCTATGCTCTGATGTGGAGTGGTGAGCATAGGTGGTGAGTGACACCCAGCGTGACCGTCATGCAGTGAGTTGAGTTCCGTGTGTGTGTGTGTGTGTGTGCATGCACGCACACGTGTGTGGAGCCAGATCAGGTGCAGCAAAAGCCACTGTATTTTTGCTGTTCATAAGTTTTTATTGAAATTATTCAAGCGACAAAAGCGACGTTCAGATACCCATACGTAATGACGTTGTAAATAACACCCATTTCCATATTGCTTTGACTTTTTTTTTTTGTTGTTGCTGTCCCGGAATTGTCCCAGACACATCATCTTTGTGTCACAGTAGCAATTTTTATAGTCCCCGGGACATTGGGACACCGTTAGTTTCGAGCCATGAGAGCATATTAATAATTTATTAACGTTTATACAACACTGTTCCCACTTTAGATCTGGTAGCTGCAAAGGATCATTATTAACTATTAATAACACCTTATTAATTCAAACTGGTAGGGTCTTATAGTGTCTTATAAACCAGTAATAAATATGGTTATTGTGCTATCATTAACCCTTATAAATCATAATTAATGTAAATAGACATCTTATTAATCAATATTTTGGATAGCTTTATAAACTGTTATCAAGTTTCTATTAAGTGCTTATAATGCTCCAATATGCAATAATAAATGTGTTAATTATGCTATAACTAACACTTATATAGTCGTATTAATGGTAATAAACATTTTATTCTGTCGTATAAGTGCTCATTAACTGTTAATTGGTGCTTACAGTACCTTAATATAAAGTGTTACCTGATAAAGATTTAAAGCAGGCAGAAATGCAGCCTGGCTCTTCCTAAAGTTAAAAAAAAAAAAAATCCAACCACATGGCTAAAGCTTATTAATGAACACATTTCATCCCTTACATAGACAGCAGGGTGGGAATTGCCAGAGGATCCACAATACTTTATTATCACAGTACTTAGGTCATGATATTATTGCTATATGCTAAGTATTGTGGTAAGATATATTGCGATATAGTGTGATTTATCACCTTTTCTTTCTTTGTCAACATCAGTTTTACCTCATAAGATAAAGTTTTCAGCCTGTACATCTGCCCTCTCCCAGGCCAAATTAAGCTTGTGAGTGAAACACTTCATATACAGGTATCCGGGATACCTTATTATTAGGTTAGATTTACTCCCAAAGCAATCAGATTTACTCCCAAAGCAATCAGTTCAGCACATATTACTACAACTCATGCAAATGCCTGTGTGCTCTGATTGCTCTCTGATTGCTCTTGTTACATACACTTGTGGGTGCCTTCCTCAGCTACCTTAGCAGGTAGCTATAGCCATTGGCCAGGAGCAGATGTCATCAGGTGGTGCACAACCTTCACTGAGTGTTTCCGCCCTCAACCACAACACTCTCTGGTTGGTGGGCCAGCAGTGAGTTGGCCACTCACTGCTGGCCCACCTGCTCCTGGCCTCCAGCCTTCCTCCTCTCGCTTGCTCCAAATCCAACACGAGGCACGTTCCGCCTCCTCCCCCATCCTACTGTAGCCTCCTGCCTACATCAGCGCTTATCTCCCAGGAGCTTGCGGCTTGAAGAATGTTGGGCTTTCTTCGTGTGGTTGGAATAGGCCTGGCTCCTTCCTTAAGGAAAGTGATCGCTCTCCCTGAGACTGTGCCAGCTGGCCTCTTCTTGCCTCTCTCCCGCTCTATAGTGTCAGCGAGTGAGAGGAGAACTTTGTCATGGCGCCATCTATACAGCCCTTGGGTTAAAGCTGTTTTGCACCCAGACAGTATGTGTGCCAGAGTCCCCTTCTGGCTGCAGAGCTTGCAGAGTGGATCCTCTCTCAGCCCCCATGTGTGCAGATGTGATGGCGAAGGAAGGGTGTCATATACTGACCTCAAGAGGAAGGAGATATGGTAAGACTCCAGTCGCCACAGCTCTCGCCACGTGACCTTGCGCTTGGGCAGATCCCATTTTGTCCAAGCCCCCTGGGAACCTTGTTCCACTGCCCTGGCTATCCGTTTCTCCTCCTCTCTGCTGTGGACCTCCCCCTGCACCATGTCTCGTCTGGTCCTTGCATTTGCGTCCCCCCAAGATTGGAAATGAACAGAGCCGAGGCCTTGCCGATGGACACATTGGTTGCAGATGATGTCTCGCAGCTTTAGAGAGCACACTGCCTGCTCCACAGTTGCATTGGTAGCCCACTTGCTCCCGGACCTGGTTGTGACACCTGCTTGTTTTACCAGGTCGTCGTTGGAATCCCTCAGGCTTAACACGACTCTGCATTTCGCAACCTTGTACTCCTCCACGACTGATGACAGGGGGAGTTGCAGCTGCCCAGACAGGTTGTAAAGGCCCACTGAGGAGAAACTTGGGGGAATGCCCAGCCATCTTCGTATATGCTTGTTGGTCTTCCTCTCAATGGCCTCTACGGCAGTCATGGGGAACTCGTAGACAGTGAAGAGCCAAAGGAGCCTGGGCAAGAGGCTGTGTTGGTACAGCCAGGTCTTGAACTTGCCCGGAAGTAAAGATGTATCAGTCTTCTTCAGCCACTCCTCAGTCTGCTTCACAGACTCAGCAACATTGGCACCATCTGTCAGTGACACATTGAACCACTTCCCCAGGCACTTCATTGGATTGTCCTCAATGGATGGAATGACGTAAACCCTGAACTTGGAGACTGAACTTGCTGCTGACTCTGCCCTTCTTAATAACCAAGCGCCTGGACTTCCTGGCTTTGAACAGCATCCCTGCCCACGAGGTGACGCTGCCCAAAGTTTCCAATACCCATCTTGCTTGGATATGAGTCACATTTGTTACTGTGATATCGTCCATGAATGCTCGCAGCACTGGCTGGACAATGCCGGACTCCAATTTAGGGCCCCGGGTTATGCCCTCTGCTGCAGATATCAGCAAGTTCATTCCCATGATGAAGAAGATGGGTGAGATGGTACACCCTGTTGGAATCCCCTTTTGGAGGTCCGGCCAGCTGGTGGTGAAAAGGGCTGATGTAAATCTGAGTTTGAACCCAGCCAGATAGGTGGTGATCATGTCTTGAATCGCCACTGGGATGTAATAGTGGTCAAGTCCTTCTTGGATGAGGTCATGTGGGATTGACCCATAAGCGAGATCTAGCCAGACAACTGTTAGGTCGCTTCTGTTCTGCTTTGCTTCTCGAATCAATTGGCTGATCATCGAGGTGTGTTCCAGACAGCCCGAAAAGCCTGGGATGCCACCTTTCTGGATGGATGTATTGATGTAGTGGTTTTGCGTCATGTAAGAGGTGATCCTTCTTGCCAGCGCTGAGAAGAAGATCTTGCACTCTACATTCAGGAGGGAGATTGTCCTGAACTGGGAGATTGCGGAGGACCCCTCCTCTTTTGGAACAAAACATCCTTCTGCCAATTTCCAGCTTGGTGGAATTGTACCCTTGGCCCAGATCTTCCTCATGATCTTCCACAACCTCCGAAGGAGTTTTGGGCATTTCTTGTACACCTTATATGGTATACCACTTGGACCGGGGGCAGCTGATGATTTGGCTTTGCGGACGATGTCCTGAACTTCCTGCCACATGGGTTCTTTCGTATTCAGCTCAGTTGATGGTTTTCCAGGCCTAGAGATGTTGCGGTGTTTGTGTCCCTCCTGTTTGGTTGCTGCTGTAGTTGAGGCTGGCCTTTCCGCTCCATTGTGCCGAACCGTTCCTTGGCGAGGTTGTACACTATGGTTGTGATTGAGTCAACCTTCTTGTGTACTGGGCCTGATGAGATTGCTTCCAGGATGCCATCGAGGTCGTCATCAAGCTGCATCCACACGATGTTGTCTGGCATCTTTGGCCATTTGATCTTCTCTCTCCTAGCCGAATGGATTGGGGTTACCAGAGGAGGGTTCATGTGGACTGGTCTCTGGTGCTGGGGCTGCTCAAGTGCGGAGAGATCTTCAGCGCTGTGGGGTGCTACCTGGCTGGAGTTCTCCATCGTCTGACCAGACTCTGGGTCTGTGCGCTTGAGTCGCTGATGTTCCACACCTAGACCTGCTCTGATGTTGCTTGAGCCCTCTGGTGCTTTTGCAGATTTTCCCGCAATGACACCTTATGGTGAATTCCTCTCCGGTCAGTGTTAATTGCTTTAGCTTTCTCGTGGTCATGTTTCTTGTCCTGGCCGATATTGGTGTATCCGTCCCACTGAGTCTCTCTTCCGCCCCCCCTCTCGGGAGACTCTGGGGGTATTGCTCATTTTGTTCCTTCGTAGCTTGGGTTGGTGCCCTCTTGCGAGTGCTGCCCACAGGATTGCTAGCCCTGTGTGCCCACGCCAGTCTTTCCTGGAGGTCAAATGTCTCTCCAGCGTTACCGCCCTTTCTCGGTTGTCATCTAGTCTTTCCTAGATGCCACTGGTAGGTAGGTTAGATTTACTCCCAAAGCAATCAGATTTTGAGAGACTGTATAAAGTTCAGCACATATTACTACAACTCATGCAAATGCCTGTGTGCTCTGATTGCTCTCTGATTGCTCTTAATGACTAAGAAACCTAACTCTTGACTTACCTGTAGTGTTATTTTTTTGTCTTTTTAAATCCAAAGAAGTCCCTCAGATCACGCTGTCCTCCTGGTCGCTTGGCCGTGATGACTGCACCTGCGCCATGATGACCTGTGCTTGCACTTTATGCAGCTTGCCAAGCGCATCATGGCGCTCTGGCGCCCCCTATAGGGCACATGCATAACATCCACGGCGCAGCTCACTGAGATACAATATAAAAATAACTTTGCATGCATGCCCTCGCCCACAGTATTTTACTCGATATGCGTAAAACCCATAGACCGCGGAACCGGGGGGGCCAGGGGGGCCATGGCCCGGGTAACTTTTGTACTCTGATATAGAGGGCTGCATTGGGATTGGGACCCAACGCAAATATCGCGGGAGCGGGCGGGTTGAACTTTGCTGCGGGCGGGAATGGACGGCTAAAAAAAACACTGCGGGATCGGGATGTAGCCTTTTTTTTTTTTTTTTTTAAAAAAAAAGGTGTAATAGTCATTTTGATCCACAGTCCACCAATGTGGACCAATTCACTGTTTGCCAACCACCATTAAACAGTAGAAGAAGAAGAAAAAGAAGAAGAAGAAGAAGAAGAAGATGTAGCCTAGCGACAGGATGTCAACACAGAAACTTGGTGCACATGCATGAGCGTTTCCACTCCATATTTATTCACAAATGGACAAATATGCCCTGAACCAGCGTTCATACCAATTTGCCGGTTGCTCCACCTGTCTGTCTGTCTGTCTGTCTGTCTGTCAGCTCCATCTGTCATGAGACAAGCATGAAAGAAGACGTGCAGTTTATTGTGTTTCACCGGCGACGAGCTGTCATTATGCGCAACTATTACGCACGTCTGCGTGCTCTTTATAACTCACTGTGTGAACCTATGTTGCATAATAAAGATTTGCCCCCTCGTAATTTTTAACCGCCCCCTCAGTAACTTCATCCTGGAGCCAGGCATGCATTAACATCAATCACTGCGTGATTATATAAAGGTAGAAAAATAAATAAATACAGAGGAGGAGAACAGAATATGAAACAGCCTTTATTTCATTAAAAACTAAATGAAAACAACGAAATAGGAGCGCTATTCCTGACCAGTGCCTCAAAAGACATGCAGACCAGGGAAACGAAACAAGCAACCCCATGAATCTCTTTATTAATAGCCTATAAAATGACGTGTTTTCTCCTGCGGGACGGGAGAAGACACAAAATCAATGCATCTCTATTATTGTGCGGGCATAAATTCTCAGAGTTTTGCGGGAGCGGGCGGGAGTGGACATACACATTGCGGTCGCAGGCAGTAATGGTCAGAAATTCAGCGTTCTGGTTACTTTTCAGTAACTGCGCAGCTGCGCTTGTTTTGTTGTTGGGTGTGTGTGTGTGTGGCTCTGCACATCAGTCTGATATGAGTGCTGACTTGTGATGATAATGAATATGATGTTGATTTAGATTCAAGGCAGCAAGATGAGTTTTGGTTGTGGTTGTGGACTGGATGTACTTTGTTGCTTGCTATAGTTTCATCTGTGCGTTTATGTGTAAATAGGCTTGGCCTGTTGTGTGTGAATGTTAGAGTGGGATCAGAGGGGTTAATCTGAGCAAGCATGTGTTCGTGTTCATGCATGTACTGTGGATAAGACTGTGTGGCATCGAAATAAAAAAAGTGCTCTGCAACGTTATTTAATACATCAGTAATATTGTCTGTTTCAATGCATATGCCCCCCCACCCCCTCCGTGTGACTTGAAATTATGGTCCCCCAAGGGAATAGAAGGGGGATAATTTTGACCGTTTTTATTTCAAGGGGGATGCCATCCCCCCTCATTCCCCCTCAACCTGAGTACTGGGTATCCCGCTAACTGAGTGGCAACAGCCATGTTAGAAGTGCTGTCTGTTACAACCACAAACCCGCACTGTTGTGTTACATTTTGCAGTAGGTCTGCAATGTTTGCTCCGGTGAGACTTCCTGTACTGCTCTAGTTTGGAGAACGTGAGACAGCAGTCGGCAGTCCTCTGTGAGATAGTGTGCCTTTATAATCACATAAGATTCCACTGACCTTGAAGTCCAGGCATCAGAAGTTAATGCCACCCTTCCTGCTGTTTAAAACAAACCTCATGGACTGCATTTTTTCATCTGCGTAATATTGTGAAAATTAGGCCTATCCTGACCCGAAAAGATGCAGAAAAATTGGTCCACGCTTTTGTTACCTCAAGGCTGGATTACTGTAACTCCCTATTGTCAGGTAAAAAAACTCTCCAGCTAATTCAGAATGCAGCGGCATGTGTACTAACAGGAACTAAGAAACAAGATCATATTTTTCCTGTTTTAGCTTCTCTGCACTGGCTCCATGTAAAATCCAGAACTGAATTTAAATTCCTACTGTTAACTTATAAAGCTCGAAATGGTCAGGCTCCGTCATAACTTAGAGAGCTCATAGTGCCTTATTATCCCACCAGAACACTGCGCTCTGAGAATGCAGGGTTACTTGTGGTCTCTAAAGTTACCAAAAGTTGATCAGGAGCCAGAGCCCTGGCTCCTCTCCTGTGGAATCATCTTCCTGTTGTGGTCCAGGAGGCAGACACCATCTCAACATTAAAGACTAGACTTAAGACTTTCCTTTTTGACAAAGCTTATAGTTAGGGCCGGCTCAGGCTTGCCTTGTACCAGCCCCTAGTTAGGCTGACTTAGGCCTAGCCTGTTATTGCATATTGCTAACTCGGCCGTTCTGCATGTCACTAACTCGGCTTCTTCTCCGGAGCCTTTGTGCTCCACTGTCTCGCAGGTTAACTTATATTGCAGCGGTGCCTGGATAGTGTGACGTGTGTGGTTGTGCTGCTTGTAAGCTATTATCATTACCGTCTGTCCTGCATCTCTCTCTGTCTCTCTCTCTGTCTCTCTTTCTGTCTCATTGTGTCATATGGATTACCCAGATAGCACACATAGACCTGGCTGTCGTTGGCCCGATGTATCAAGTTTAGATGATTAAGACAACTGTATTTTTTAAAGCATTTTAGCTGTCTTTTAGCCAGATTGAAGGCTTTGGGTCTGTCACTCTGCTTAATTTATTGTTGAAACAGTTAAATAACGGGATCCGGCATTAACTCCATTAACTATTAACAGCAGCTCAACAATCAGTCCTTCATCTCGGAAAAACAGTGGTTTCAAAACTGCGCTATTACCTGTAGCCACCGGGTCACTTTGCTTTGCAGACAAGGAGACCTCGACGGATAAATTGTCCATAAAATCACATTAATAACATACTGAATGCATCCTTAAACTTCACTATGGCCCTGTTTAGACGACAACGGTTTCTCTATAAACGGAAAAGTCTGTCCTTTGCATTTTAGAAAACTTCTGCGTTTATATGACGACGCTATTGACACGGTCTCCGTTCACAAGGAGCCACAAAATTGAGTAAGGTAAAGCTGCAGTACCGGAGGCTGCAGTTTCAGGACCGCAGTTTTAGGACCGTTTAATTTTCCGAGCGGATGCTGCAACCTGAAGTTTATTTTTATTTTTTTGCTATACCCAAATACTACTTTCTTATTAAATAGTTATAATCAGTGTTGGGCATAATACGCGTAATTTGATTGATGAAGCCCAAGTAACTATACATTACCATTGCTGGTCCTCTCCGCTCCTCTCACCCACACCTAAACACCTGTTTTGGGTGTTGGCCCGCCCGGCCTGACCTCCGCGGTCCTCTCCGCTCCTCTCACCCACACTTGAGCATCCATCCGGGGAGGGCCGCAGAGGTTCGGCCGGGCGGGACCATAGATGAGTGGATCCCAAGTCTCGAACCCTGCCCGGGCTCCGTGCACTTCCACTTTAACCCAAAACGAGTGCTCACGATAACCAGATGAGCAGATAACATCAACTAGGGAAAATGAAAACGCTACACTTTTAGCCTGTTAGCTAACATGAGCTAAACTAACGAAAGATAACGTTAGCTGGTGGGGACCTGTGCTATATACACCCAGTCGTGCCTCACCACTCACCAGGAACCTCTTTTAACGGTCACAGAATAAACAACATAGCTATTCTCTGCCAATTTATTCCAGTTAGCTTACCTGAAACCAGCACTCTTGATAATGTCAAGAGGGCTGGATGATAATCTCATATGAGACATGATTTCTTTAATTTCAGGGAGACTGACAGGTGAAAAATTACACAAGGTGGCCTGATGTGGAGTACTGACGTCTACAAAATTTTGTATTGTATTTTGTATTGTTTCCCTTGTAATGCTACACTGTATAACAAATCGGTGTCAAAATCAGCAGGAGAGCTAGTTAGCATTAGGTCTAAGCAGCCAGTGGCCACAACTACTCACACAGGTTCCATTGAGTTAACCTACATTATGATGCCTTTAAACTATATTCAGTAATAATAAGTATTGGGGGATGGCAAATTATAATGTTCTCAAGATGTGCTCAATGTAATCTTGTAA